CTCTCTCTCTCTCTCTCTCTCTCTCTCTCTCTCTCTCTCTCTCTCTCTCTCTCTCTCTCTCTCTCTCTCTCTCTCTCTCTCTCTCTCTCTCTCTCTCTCTCTCTCTCCCTCTCTCTCTCACACACACACACACACACACACACACACACACCTGGCCGGACCCACCCCTCCCCCCAGGTGGCTGTCATCGTCAATGACATGGCGGAACTCAACATTGACGCGGCCCTGGTGGCCGGCAGCAAGCTGGTGGCGGCAAAGGAGGACCTCGTGCAGCTGCAGGTGGGGGCTGCGTTTTTGGGGGGGGAGAGGGGGAGTTAGAGAAGCATGCACCATTGTGTTGCGGGCCTGGCTGGTGAGGGTCTGGGACGTTGCAGGCACAAGGATGGCAAGGTCCCCTCTCAGGCAGGGCCCTGGACTGTGTTCCCGCGGTCGTTACCGCTTACGGGGGCGCGTCCAGCGCCTTCATGCGCACGTCTCACACCATGCTGCCTCTGGTGCTGCCATCCCTGAACCTTGTCTTATGCCCAAGCTCACACGCCTTGTCATGCATTTTTGTATGAGTACCCATGTCAGGTTGCTGGATCCACATCCAAATCGCCCTGCCGCCCGACTGACCCCAAGCCCTCCTCGACCACAACACCTTGTCCCCCCCCCCTCGCCGCGCACGGCCCGACCCCTCAACCCCAGAATGGCTGCATCTGCTGCACCCTGAGGGGCGACCTGCTGCAGGAGGTGGCGGCGCTGGCGGCGGCCGGCAACGTGGACTACCTCGTCATAGAGTCCACGGGTGGGTGGTGGGGTCGGGTCCACTCACTTGATGCACCTATCAGTTGCTTTGAACCACAGCAGCCGGTTGCATCTTGCTGCACCACGCTTTTCGAGTTTCAGATCTTGCCTTGTGACACATTGTGATCAACCTGAAACTTCGTCACCCCGATCCACAGTCGGGTATCCAGAGTCCAATGGGAGGCAGCCAACCCGATGCCCCGATACGCACCGGCTACTGCAGGCATCAGCGAGCCCATGCAGGTGGCGGAGACGTTTGCGATGGAGCTGGACGCCCCCATGCTGGCAGAGCTCAAAGCACGCGGCCTCAAGCTGCCGCCGCCGCCCGCCAGCCTGACCGCCCCCCAAAAGCCGGCCGCTGATGCGGTTGTAGTGAACACCGCCACGGCGCCAGCCGCAAGGGGCGAGGGGGAGGCTGCTGCTGATGCAGAGGTCGTGATCCACGAGGGAGGCGACGACGGCGCCGAGGACGCTGCAGGCGGCGGCGGCGGCGTCAGCCTGTCTGACTTTTCGCGGCTCGACACGTGAGTCTCTCATGGCAGCAGCGAGGGGGAGAGCGAGGGGTTAATCCCCCGGCAACCTACTGGGCAACTTTGCTGATCGCCACTGGTGTCAAGCTGCCATCAGACGGGCGATCTGCAGCCGAATGGCGATTTGAGGGAGCCGTTCCTGCGACCGCAGCGGAGCGCGGGTATGGCAGCACTCCTACCCCCCACTTGCGCAAGTGGGACATTAGAACCAAAGCCAATCCCCTGTAACCCAGGTGCGTCACCGTGGTGGACGCGGCAAAGTTCTTTGACGACCTGCAGTCCATAGAGGAGCTCGCAGACAGGTGCGGGCCTAGTCGGCAGGGCGGAGTGCCGCCATGCCATGCTGGGGGACAACACAATGCCTGTTGCGATCCTGCCAGTTGAGCATCCATGCAGCGCGAAGCATACGTGATTGCTCTACCTGCCGCTTTTGATGACCCCTCTGCTGTCTGCACCTTCAAACGGCTCGCCGCAGGTACGGCACCGACGCGGTGCCGGAGGGCGACGACCGCTCGCTGGCCGCGCTGCTGGTGGAGCAGGTGCGCCCGCGCGGCGCCTGGTCGCGTTCAGCGGCAGGGGCTGCCCGAAGTCAACGCGTGCGACGCATTGCGCCACCATGCACTTCAGGGCATTCTGGCCACTGTCGCTCGCCTGAGGTCGTTCAAGACATCATGAGTCATGCATATGAACAGCCTGCCATACTCACCAGGAGCCCACCAACCTCTCAGATGACGAGCAGCCACAGCAGCACTACCTGCAGCAACAGCGCACCACCATCATGCAGGCGCAGGCTTTCGCAGCCACCATGTCGCTGCTCACCCCCACCCCGCCCTGCTCTCACCCAGCCCCGCCTCCTCCATTCCCGTGCCAGGTCGAGTTTGCGGACGTGCTGATCATCAACAAGGCGGACGTCATGGCGGCACAGCCCCCCAAGGTGCGCCCCGCGCCGCGCCAGTCCCGCCGTGTTGGCGCCTCGGACGCCGCGTGCTTTCCGAAAAACCAGGGCCGTGAGGGGTCCAGCAAGTGCTTTGCCATGGCCGTGTGCACCAATCCTCAGTTAGCCACTCAGCTCACGCACCCAGGAGGACGACCCAAATAAACATGAAACTGCCCCACTTGCACAGCACCGTCACTCCCCCGTTGGCGCCCTCATCCTCCCCGACCCACTGTTAACCCCCTCTCAGGAGCGCGAGCGCCTGCGCCGCGTGCTGCGGCAGCTCAACCCCTCCGCTGCCGTCCTGGAGGCCACCCGCTGCGACGTCGACCTCCGCCAGATCATCAACACGGGGCGCTTCGACATCGACAAGGTCTGACTGGCGCACTGCATTGCATTGTTGTGGAGACCTGTTGGCGTGGCTTGTCGTAATGTAGGGGTGGCATGGGTAAAATGCGAACAGTACGCTTGCACGTGCTTGGTGTGGCGCGCACGACCAGCCGTGCTGCCTCATGGGGCATGCGGGCGCCTTTCAACCGCAGTGATTGAGCCCGATTTTCTGATTGCAAGGCCCCGCGACTAGCTGCAGCGCAGCTGCGTCTGCCATTCAAAGCGTTCTCTGTTCTTCAATTGGGCTCACAGCCCCGTGGCCTCCAGGCAACCATCGCCACCCCACCACGCTGCCCCTGACAGCTGCTCTCCCGCCCC